ACTTGAGTCGGCACGTTTGATGTCGGGGTGGCCAAAATTTAAAGTGACACCTGGTGACAGTTGACGTTTTTGCGGATTGTTACACTGGTAAAAATGAACAAGATTCGTATCTCCAAGCAATTACTAATAGAGGGAGCGTGAAAAAGAGTTTGTAGGAGATTGTTGTGTTAGCAACATCTGTAGAGGAAGTGAGGAAGCGGGCACAAGGGGGAAGGTAAACATCCTTCTTGTTCAGTGGCGTATCATTTATCTATAAAAACACACATTGTCCAAACCACTGATCTGTATTATTTTACTGGATAGGATATAGCCCCCTAAAAAACGTTCCGAAAAATTGGCCGATTTGGGCAAATAATATGGCGGACCGGATGTTATTTAACGTAACTTCTATTTCCATTTGTCATCACATTTGTCATTTAATAGTGTCAACAAGTTACGATAAAATGTTTTAAATAAAAAATAATATAAAAAAACTAAATATTAAAAAAAACAAAATTGAAACAAAAAAAAAATGCAAAAAAAAAAAAAACAAACAAAAACAAGTAAAAAACAAAAACAGACTAAAAAATTAAAAACAAGCAAAAACATGAGCTAGAAAAAACCTATTATAGAATTTACTTCTTAATAATGTATTTAGAGAAATTTGTATTTTTCAAATAAAATGTGAACTGTGAAATATTGTAAGGATAGAACTTAAAATTGAATTAACACAAAATAAACTTTATTAAAATTAATTAAAGATTGACTGGCCAGTTGGTTTTGAAACCAGTGCCAAACAGAAATACATACATACACACATATTGTGGAAAACAAAGTAAAAAGAGTATGAAATAAACAATAAACGTTCATTCCTGAAGACACAATATGCTTCACGTTTCCATTTTTATATTTTCTTCATAAAAAATCAAATCATGGGTGAATTTTCCCGTAGGACATCACCCGCAAAAGGAATAGAAGAAGAATAAGAAGAAAACTAATCCTGAATCCGTTATGACTATTTTCGGAATGATGCCTGTGTGTGCGTGTGTGTGTGTGTGGGCGCGCGCGCGCGCATGTGTGTGTGTCTGTGTCCACCATAACTCATGAACCGATACAAAGAAAAACACCAAATTTTAAACTTAAGCTTTATTCCAGCCTGCGGTGAACTGATTAGATTTTGGGCAGAATCGGAACATTTGGGGGGATACTTTATTGGTGGATTTTTATATTTTATGAAATATATCCGGTATTTACGTTTGGAAAAGAAAATTCTTCAAATAAAAGTTACTTATAATATTATTATCTATAATTATTGTTTAATACAAAATTTTCCTAAAATGGTCCGTATTCGAGAAATTTGACAAAATGTAAAAAAAAATATTTTTTTATAAAAACTGTTCAGATAAAAGTTGTTTGTAATATAATTCTCTATAATTTTTATCCCATACATAATTTCTCTAAAATGGACCGTATTCGAGATATTTGAGAAAATGTGTAAATTTCGAATTTTGAAGAAAACTCAAAAATGGATAAAGGAAAAAACATTAAATTTTAAACTTAAGTTTTATTTCGGCTCGAGGTGAAATTATTAGATTTTGGACAAAGGCGGAACATTTGGGGGGTACTTTATGGGAGGCCGTTTTTATATTTTATGGAATATATCTGGTATTTATGTTTGGAGAAGAAAATTGTTCAAATAAAAATGACTTACAATAGTATTATCTATAATTTTGGTTCTATACAATTTTTTTTTAAAAATGGTCCGTATTCGGGAAATTTGACAAAATGTAATAAAATTCAAATTTTTAGGAAAATTGTTTAAATAAAAGTTATTTGTGATATCGATCTTTATAAATTTTGTTTTTTATACGATTTTTCTAAAATGGACCGTATTGAAGGAAAAGTGCTAAATTAAAATTTTTCAGTATTTTCGTTTTCAATTAATATCTATAGAAAAATGTTTCGAGTTAGATGTATGTGGAATATGTATATATTTAGTTTATCCTCTAAACATTTATAGAGGTGCTGCAATAGGTTGTACAAAATAATCGGAAAAAGCCTATAATAACTAGATAGGAAAGTCATGTGTTGGACACATCAGATTTTTTGTTATAACAGTCTTTGTATATTGTTCTAACTTTTTAGATAATCAGAGAAAACCGTAAGACATCTTAATATATCCTATTTCACTAACAAAAATGTCGAATAATTAATCTCACATCAAACGAAAAAAGTCATTTTAGGATGTCCTAATAGGTTTTAACTTAAAAACTAAATAAAATGTATATTGCAATTGTGTTTAAATAAATGAATGTTTTTATACCTGACTATAGCACCAGACAAACATTTTTTTAGATCATAATGATCTGCATAACTCAAAATAGTCAAAATCCACATTATTTAAGTTGTTCTAGTATTGTTTTAGCATAACGATGTAAACACCAATAATAAATATTCACATTTTTTGGGACGTTTTTTAAGGAAATTAAAAAAAAAACATGAATAATGTGATATTCTTGTTTAGTTTTGTACTATATAATATAGTTCATTAGGTAGTGATTTAGAAGCAAATTATGTTCTATTTATAGAATCAAAAATCGACTCATAATATCTAAATATTTGTACCTATTTATATTTTGGACAGGAAGAGTATTTTATGTTCTTGGCTCTGAATAGTTTTTTTAAGAATTTGAAAACCTTCCTTAGCTCTTTTGGGATATTCCATGCATATATTAGTTCATTTTGTTTAAACCTAAAACAAATTAAGTACAAAAAATGAAAATTTAAACAATACACAAAATTAGTCTCTTAGATTAGTTAAAAAAAGTGTCAACAAAAAATGGCTATGCCTTTTTCCTTAAACATTTTTTTTTGAAAGAAACTTAAGTTTCTCTACTTACTTGCTGTTTTAGTATTTTAGTAGCAGATGAATATAGTGTAGAAGTAGTGACAGGATTGATTATTATACTTCTTTCGTCGAAACTGCATTTTTCTTTAATATTTTCCTCCTCTGAGGTTTGTAATAAAAATGTTCATTAGCATAAAAAGTTATTCAGGTGGTCACTTGTTGAATTCCTATATTTTGGAATAATGTATTTCTCATATCAAGAAAAGGAAACCTAAAAAAAAATAACAATAAACTTTAAAAAGATGTGATATTAAAATAATAATAATAATAATAAGTAATTAACCTTTACTATAATCATTATGAGACGGATGAAGACGAACTTAGCTGGAGTTTACTTGCTCTTAATTTTAATTTTTCGATAAAAAAATAAAAGTTTAATTGCAAATTAAAGGTGATTGCCTAATGCACCGCCTCTGATAATTAGGTTGTCTGTATCACTGATCTGTATTATTTTACTGGATAGGATATAGGCTATATTTAACATACTAAAAAACCGTTCCACCAAGGAGACCGGAAGTGCAACAATGCTGGCCGATTTGGGCAAATTATGGTGGGTTCACACAACTAACCTAACCTATAATGATTAGTTTTTCTTCTTATTCTTCTTCTATTTCCTCCCGATGTCCTTCGGGTCAATTCACCCATGATTTGATTTTTTATGAAAGAAAATATAAAAATGGAAACGTGAAGCATATTGTGTCTTCAGGAATGAACGTTTATTGTTTATTTCATACTCTTTTTACTTTGTTTTCCACAATAAAAACATCTCATCGTAGCTTGTTGACACAATTAAATGACAAATGGAAATAAAGGTTACGTTTGAATAACATCCGGTCCGCCATATTATTTGCTCAAATCGGCCAATTTTTCGAAACGTTTTTTAGGGGGCTATATCCTATCCAGTAAAATAATACAGATCAGTGGTCTGTACTTATGATATTATCTTGAAGAAGCATTTTCAACAGGCCTTTTACACATAAAGCATGTTTTCACCATATTATTAGAGATCTTAAATATACATTTACAACCCTTACAACGTTATAAATAGTAATATTTTCCGTAAAATACAAATAAGAAATTGACATGTGTCAGAAAGTGTCGGAAGGTGTCAGAACTGGCGCTGTCAAACTTGGCAACGCTGATTAAATAAGCCAATTACAGAAGAGGTATTTTCCCCCTCGGGGGAGTAGATGTTGCTAATAAAATTTAGCGCGGGGAAGGGGGGAAGACTCTCTCGAGTAGTAATTGCTCGGAGTTTTACATACCTTTCTGAAACTTTGAGAAATGAAAAATACCTAGTTTTCGAATCCTTTCGAGGTATACATGGGTGATAACACATCTCTTTCTATTAGATTCCATCAGTTCACTAAAAAAATATTTTGCTTTAATAAAATAAATAAAAATATGTAATAGCTCAGCACATACCACAAAAAGTCTTTGATTAAAAACATGTTTACTAAACAATGTTCATAAAATGGACAAAGGAAAACACTAAACACAGATTTACTGAATAATTTTTAAAAAATATACAAAGGAAAACACTAAAACACACTAAATTCGATAAAAAAATCAGAAAATGTAAATGACTTATTCTGACACATCAAAACAACACTCGCATGTGACATGACAGTTTTGCCGGTTATAAAATGGCGGCCCTGATCATGCGCAAACAATTTCGGACCCTAAAAATTAGATATCCTTCGCTTCTGTAATAGATAGGCTATTCTGTGTCCGTACCACAAGTAAATTTGGGTTTTAAACTTTTTAATGCAATATGTATTTCTTCTTCAGTGAAAGATTTGTCTTTGTGAGATTCAAATTATTACTTTTTGCTTTTCTTCACTATTAAAAATATATTTATTTATTTATTTTTTTTTAGTAATGAGATGGCATCAAATAAATACTATTTTTAACAATTCCAGAAAAAATATTTATACATTTTTTCTTTATAAAAGTAGATAAATGTATTTTATTAATTTGAAACAACTTATACTTAGATGTTTATGCACTTCTGCTTTAAAAATACTATTTTTATATGTACTTTGCATTACTGTAATTAGACATTAAAATATGTATGCTTAAATTAACTTGAAATTATGTTTACTTTTTTCAGGGGATGCCTGAAGCATGGTCTCGTTTATTGATGAACTCGAATATTAGTAAACAAGAGCAAAAGAACAACCCACAAGCCGTTTTAGATGTTCTCAATTGGTATGACACTAGTTCTAAGGAACCCCCCAATACAAAATACATGACCAAAACCGGAACCACACATTCAGGCGGTAAGCAGTAAATTATAGTTATTTATGGTACTAGTGTGTTGTGTTAAAAATAAGTCACGTCAAGTGACTTAGGAAACATAACACACGAGTGGCATACAATGTTTTATCCAACAAACAAGTGGAAGAAATCGTTTTTTTATGAAATGATAATTAATAAGTTTTGTGATCATATCAAAGCTACTTACGTCTCAGTACCCTATAAATGTCATAATGACTTCAAATTCCAATAAACCGTTAGCGTTTTCCATTAATTTCAATATCAATGTGAATTCTGCTTGTAATAGTAATAAATAAATAGAATTGTACTTTAAATATGAACGTTATAATCCATAACTCACTAGTGAATTATACAATCCATAACTCACTAGTGAGTTATGGATTATAACACACTAGTGTGTTATTTGATAGTTTATTTGTCTAAAATGACATCAGTAATGACAGTCATAACTGTCATGTGTTGGATAAATTATATTTATTATAAATTACTGAATAAATAAACCCTAATGACTACATATAATGTATATAATAAAAATGACTAAATATTTTATATGATAGTTCTTAGTAAAGCAAAACAATAGTATTTGTAGGTTCAACTGTAAGTAGGGTATCAAGTTCGAGTCCTAGCAGTACTACACCCACAGAAGGCGATGCAGGGCCTCAGTCATACCACAGTCCTGTCCATGTTGTTAGTTCCGAAATCGAAGATGAAGCTCCACCTCCACCCATTGCTAGCAGACCTGAGCGCACAAAAAGCATTGTAAGTTTATTTCAATACAATATTTTTAAGGTTTATCTTACCCGACCAAAAAATAGATTTTAAATTTTTTTTAAAAAATTCACTAAACATATTCTTCAAATAAGTAACTAATAGGCAAATTTTGAAAAAATCTTGTAAGCCGTTTTTGAGGAAAAAAAATGTTTTGTTCAAAAATTCAAGTAAGTAAAAAAGTTATCATTCATCAGATTTTTTTCAAAATTGTTCTTTTACAAAATTTTTAAACTTACAGTTTTTTTTTTAATAATAATATTATTTCACAATAAATTATCTCTAAAACTTTTATAAACGAAATAAAGATGAGCCACTTAATTATATTTGCATTAAAAAAAAAAAATAAGGAGAGATTCTCGTAAATCGGCTGATTGTCTGCTGTGATTAGACATATGGTTACACCTCTGCCACTGACGCTTCTGTTCTACTGTTCTACCTCTGTAATAAATAGCATCGCTCATTCTATACTGTTCTTCTAGTGCAATGGGCCCGTTCACTTTCATTTTTGAATGTGAATTAATTATATATTTATAAAGATATTAAACTCTTTTGTCTGGTGGTACTTTTCCCGTTAAGATATTTTTGCTAGAACTAAGGGAATTCCCATAAAATTCTTTCAGTGACTCATTGCGTCAGAAAATCCCTAATTCCGTTCACGTCTCGTATCGGTTATGCTAAAAGACGGCGAGGTTGTCGGAAGTATCCCTAATATAGCATTTCTCAAGAGATGAACCTAATTTGAAAACTGTTAGTGTTGTATCTAAAATTGCTATATCTGTAAGTCTTCAATTATAAAACGCCTTTAGCAAATATTTAAGTTCCTATTTGTCTTAGGAAGGCGTACATTAACTAAAAACTATTCTTTATCTCAGTTAACAAAATAAATAAGGGGTACATATCAAAATAAAAAAGGAAGCAAAATATAGTAGTAACACACCAAAAATTAAATGTTAAATTAAAAGCACACATAAAGTGAAACAACATAGGTTATAGTTAATATAAAGGAGAGGTTTATTAGGATGTTTTTTAAAGTTTCTTTTTTAAAATAACTATTCAAGGAAGGTTTGTAATGATTAAAAAAAATAGCTACTGCATTATAAATGAAGCTTCTTTCTCTAGAATGACATGGCGTAGATAAAGAGATTATAAGTACTTAATTTCAAATTAATTTTTCATTCTAAATTGATAAAAAAATGGAAAAAAAATATTTTTTAACGAATTCTAAGGTTGTAACTGTTTGAAATTAAAAATGTGGCCAGATATAATACGATCAAATTTGTTTAACTTACCAATAAAACGACAATATATATGTTGCAGTTTGTACCTAATAGTACCTACCTATTACACATTTATATATGTAATTTAAATAGTAAAATTCCATTATTTTTCTAAAATCATGAACTTATATTTTCAGATTTAAAGCTGGGAGCTTATTTTTTACTTTTTAATTAAAACAATTATTATTACTCAGGCTGAAAATTAACCAGACCATAATCAAAAAGTAGAAATTTGATTTGCAATATTTATCTGGTAAACGTGGCAACGTTGCATTTATTTCTAGAAGTGTGTGTAGACAACACTATTTAGAAGTACTTACAACGTTGTCACGTTTACCAGATACATTTTCTCAAATAAAATTTCGATCTGGTAATATTCAGCTTGAGTAATACTAATTGTTTTTATTAAAATTTAAAAAAGGTAGGGCTTCCAGCTTTATCTGAAAATATAAACACATTATTTTTAAAAAATAATATATTTTTATCATGTAAATTTCTTTAATAAATGCAGAAGAGGAATGGTGGTGCAATGATACATCCGACAACCGCGCCCTTTTAACTATTAACCGATACAAGACCTGAAGGGAATTAGGGGTTTTCTGACGCAATGAGTCACTGAAAGTATTTTATGGGAATTCCCTTACTTCTAGCAAAAATATCTTAACGGGAAAAGTACCACCAGACAAAAGAGTTTAATGTCTTTATAAATATATAAATAATTCACATTCAAAAATGAAAGTGAACGAGCCCATTTAAATTAATGCGATTTTTATATAAAATTGATTATAGCGTGTGAAATACCTTGTATAATCTCATACTATAAAATAATAATAATAATGGGAAAAGCAAGGGTAATTTAAACATAATATAAAATATAGAATTTAATGCTGTCTACCGTTCTTTAAATGTTTTTTTTTTATCCTTTAATAGGGCCAGTTATAATGGACTTTTTTATTCATAATGTATATGGTTTATATATTTTAAATTATCTTAATATTTTGTTTCACAATATTTTGTTTTAATGTTTTGTAATAATTAAAAATTATGCGAATTTTGTCACACACCGTGTTTGTTTGAATATTGAAAAAATCTAGATCTATAGATTTTTAATGCTTTAATAATATTTTTCTATGACTGAGCTTTATACATACAGGGTGGTCCATATTTGTGGAATATATTAATTATTGGCTTTATTATTACGTTTTGAAAAAAATCCTTGAACAGGTCGATTTTTATTTCTAAAATGACATTTTCTGAACAAAATGATTTATCTCCCTTTCAACCCCTTCGGAGTAAAAGTCACCCGTTTAATTTTTTTAAATAGAAAGAGGTAGCGTGTGATACCTCATTTTAAAAGGTTTTTAATTCCCTATTCAGCAGTATAAGATTTTTTGTTTTTTTTGTACATTTATATTCAAGAAACATCAATTTTTATTTTTAACCATTCTATTAATAATACTACAATTTTATGGTATTAAATGTTCAAAATGACTACCGTTAACTTCTTGACAATAACCAATGCGGTTATTAAATTCTTGAAGGACATCTTGTATGACGTCCGGGCCAATTTTTTTAATGTCTTCGGTGATTCTTTTAATTCGTCAATAGTCTCCGGTCGATTTAAATACACTTGAGACTTTAAGTGGCCCCATAGAAAATAATCAAGCAGCGTTAAATCGGGAGATCGAGGTGGCCATTCAATGGCTTCATGCCTGCCAATCCATCTGTTAGGAAATACTTCATCCAAGTAGTCTCTCACTCCACGTGCAAAATGTGGTGGAGCACCATCTTGTTGGAACCAAACATTTCTATCTGTTTCATCTGGATTGTTATTATCAGGATACAGAACTTGTAATTGAGGTACCAAAAAATTTGTTAAATATAAATATCCTTCACCTGTCAGAGAGTCATCAAAAAAGTAAGGCCCAATGATTTTATTTTCAATAATACCACACCACACATTCACAACTGAGTGTGAGTCTCCATTATCCAATGATGATTTTCTCTGCTCCAATAACGAGAATTGTGTCGGTTGACAGTACCATTTAAGTAAAACGTTGCTTCATCCGAAAAAAGTATTTTCTGTAAAAACTGCACATCTGCCTGACATCTGTTCATTATTTGTTCACAGAATTGTAGCCTTCGGTCTGGATCGTCCTCAGATAACTCCTGTACCAACTGAATTTTATAGGGATGGTACTTTTCTTTGTGTAAAAAACGCAAAATTGTTGTTTTACTGACGTTGTGTTCGGCAGCAAGTTGTCTGGTAGATTTATGCGGATTTTCTTCAAGGGCTATCATAACATCTAATCGTTTATCCTCATCAACTTCAGGGTTCTTCCTGCGTTACGAACTTGCTTCACATGCCCAGTACTACGAAATGTCTTTGCTACTTTGCTAACTATAAACTGTGAAATATTATGTCCTGGATATTTATTATTAAATAATTCACATACCTCCCTATGCGTTCGTTCTCTATTGTCACAACCAAGCATTATTAAAATATCTATTCTCTGAGTTTCAGATAAATACGCCATAACGACTGTTCATAAAATTGAACTAATTAAATAGTATAAATTATAATCGTCAATGGGGCATGTTCAAAAATTTTGAAATTTTTTTTATGAATAATAGAGTTGAAAATAAAACTACATTTTTTTTATTTTTTTTTTATCTATTCATTTGCCGGAGTTATGAATTTTTTTAAAATTTATGACGTCACCGGGAATAGACCAATAGGAGCTAGCGCACAACGTTGCCGGCTAGAAGGTTTACGAGAAGTGATGTACGTTCGTTTGTGTACTCCTTCTTAATTTTAGACTTCTAAAACATTGTTAAACAAATATCTTTTAAATACATAATATCAAATGTTTTTTGAAAGTATTATTTCTGTTTAAACTTTTACCATATTTAAAGTTTCATTGTTTTAAAAGTCACTTAATAATTCAGAAAATGGCAAAATGGCAGCACTGTGTATGGCATCTGTCATAGTGTCTCGATCAAGAATTTATTTGGAATTTGAGTGTTTAATTTTGTACTTTTTATAAATATTATGACTACGAAAAAGTGTTTTGTTCCAGAATGTGATAATGATTCACATTCATCTTCAAAAATATTTATTAGTGTTCCTAGAAATTTGGAAAGAAGAAAATCAACCTTCTACTGGCGATGTTTCTCGTGAACTTTTTAATAAAAATACACCGGATTATCAAGATGTAGTAGCAATTTCTGCGAATTGTCCCCTTCAGGAAATTGAAAATGAGGCTACTATAAATTCTTAGGTGTATAACCTAAAAACCCTTCTGGAAGAAAATGCAGAATCTCCTGAAAGTTTTGAAGATACCGAATTTATTCATCATTTTGTGGAAGAACTAGTGATAAAGAAATAATAGAAAATGTGGGTATTTAAACAAACTGGTTCCTGGATCCCATATAATGGCAGATAGGGGTTTCAGAATATTCAGCTACTTGAAAACATGGGATGCATTTTAGTAAAGCCACACCTAGTGTATCACAGAATGAAAAAAGTTCTCCAGAAGATGTACAATTAAGTAAAAGAATATCATCTCTAAGAATACATACATGTGGAAAGAGTTATAAGAAGGGTTAGTTAATTTAACATGTTAAAACCACATTCGTGTGTGAATTTTAAGCAAGTACATTTACTTAGTAATATCTGCATAATTGCTTGTTAACTTACAAGAACCTATTTTGTAAGAGTAAATATTAATTTAATAACCTTTTTTGTTTGTTTTTTAATTTAATTTACTTAATTATCACATTTCAGGGATTATAATGAGTTTTTAAACAGCCAATGTAATTTTTGATAAAAATTTAACTTTTCGAGTAAATCAAAGAGGAATGAGTACCTGTATATGCATAGATTTTTTTGGGACTAAAACTACCAAAACAAAGGCACCTATTTACAGCAGTTTAAAATGAAACATTTTAACAAAAACGCCTATGTCACGGTGATAAATATTAAAAACAACCAAGTTCAGTTGAATGTGGTAGCAAAGTCTATATATTCCAATAAATTGGGTAACTACATGTGGTATCACTGGTGATAAATTTAAAAATATCACAATTCTTGCTACCTTTTTCAAAAAACCAGAAAGTGTGCCTTCTTATCAATCCTTTATGAAAATGACAACAGTAATAAATGTGAAAAAAAAAAATTTTATGTTGCTATTCGTTATTACGATAGTAAAACATGTTTGCAGTTCCGTTTATTTTTTATGAAAATCTAAGTAAAAACCAATGTCAAAAGGTTATAATTTTTTTTCTGTCAAACCAAATATATCACAAAATTAAAAATTGATCATAGGTCAAGCTAAAGTAATACCTTTATTGATAGTAGCTTTAAAAAAGGAGAAAGAATAATATTGACTTAAGTTATTATTATTAACATTGGCGATTTTTAATAAAAACTTTTCAATTATTGTTTACAAACAAAAATATAAAAATCTGTGAAAATTTTATTTATCAACCTTTTAATAAAAAATGAGAAAAATGAAGTAAAAAACAAATAAAAAATATATATACGAATCCTAAGAATATAAAAGTACTGATTTATTTTCCTGTAGTGGATGAAGAGGTTTCTTTAACAATCTAGCCAAGTGTACATCAATATTTACGCATTTTGATAAATTAGAGCCTTTCCAATAACACTGAGTAGATGTTACAGATGGTTCCTCACTTCTTCTATGAAGCCACATGTTTATAACCACCTGAAAAAAAAGAGATATGCAGTTACAAAATAACTATATATCCAGCTACAAAATGCCTTATTTTATGTAACAAGACGAGCAGAGCTTAACTAGCTCTGAACGAATCTAGTAAAGAACCTCGGATTTTCAAAAGTTAAAAAAAAAACAATCTCACCACATTTTTGAAATATAGAGCTTTTTGAAAAAAAACTGCTATTTTTAAAAGTACAATTTTTTAGGCTATTGAGTATTATAAAAAAAAAAATTACGGGATGCTTTGTTAGCTTCAAACGAATCCAGCAGAGCACCCCAGTTTTTTTTTTTTAAACCACACCACGTTTTTTGGCTCCTACAATATTATAAAATATTCGAAATTTGGCATTTTTAAAAAAATTCGCAATTCCTTGCTGACTTCAAAGTTTTTTTTCTGAAAACAAATATACTTACCACATTTTTAGGATTTTAAAACAACCTAAACATGTGTCATAAGTAGTTGTTTTTATATATAAAAAAACAAATTAAAAAACTGAAGTGTCCTGCTGACTTTGTTCCAACAAAGCACCCTGCATTATTTAAAAATAGCAATTTTTTTAGTAAAGTTTTACAATATTTCAAGAGTCTAAAAATGGGGTGTGGTTTTTAGAAAAAAAGCTTTAAAAAACCGAATTGCTCTGCTGGTTTCTTTCGAAGGTTAGCAAGAAGCACCATGTATTTTTTAAAAATATAATATTTCAAGTGCATAAATATATGGTGTTGCTGTTTTTACAGAAAAAACTTTATAAAACAGAGGTGCTTTGCTGACTTCGTTCGAAGGCTATCAGAGCATTTTAAGTTTTGCAAAAAACGAGGAGCATAAAATTTTTGAGAAGGGTATAAAAATAGCCTAAAGATATGGCATATTTTTTAACTCAAAATTTCATAGGTGCTCTGCAGCATTCTTTGGTATCATAATTATTACTAGGTTCACTAACAAAATCTATTTATAGAAATAAAAGGCCTTATACACTGTTTATTATATGTGATATAAAAACAAAAAAGCATAATAAATATTACAAACCTTGACATGCAGCATATCGTAAGCATTGTGCACTAAAAATTTCATTTTTGTTAATTACAACAAGCACATCGGAAGGTTTTTGCCGTACTTTATGTTTAGGTGTAATTTGTCTCCTTCTCTCTTATGGAAAAAGAAATTATCCCCATATTCTTGCTTGGCAGATCTAAAAATAAAACCTGAGATAAATATGTTTTACTATAAGGTGTATTGGCTCCATATAAACTGTAAATACCTACTATTAAAACAAAGTCTTACCTTTCTGACTTTTGTAAACTGAGTATTGTTAAAAAATGCAGTAATCATCTCGGTAATTATATTTTCGTTTACAATGGGTAAAACACTTGATTCAACTTTTATAAATCCAGCTGATTCATATTAATAATAAAATTAAACCAAAACAAAAAACTAAGGTTAGGTGTTAGGTGGTGTCAATGTTAATGTCACTTAGATGTGCGTTCACTTCGACATTCTGTGTGTCGGTTTGTTCGTTGGTTTGGTTTTGTATAACAAAAAAAACTTCGACACAAGATGATTGGTCTATTCCCGATGACGTATAATTTCAAATTTTAAATTTCAATTGGGCTTAATTTAAAAACTTTTGGCTTTTTTAACGAACTGACGATTTAGAATAACTTGTATAGCGACTAACTATTACAATATAATTTATAAAACAGCATATCTCACATGTGAACATGGCCCATTGTAAATAAATGTTCCTTGCTTATTCCTTTGTAGCAGAATAGCAAAAGTTTTTCATAATAAGCTCGGTTTAACTTTTTATTGCCATTTTTTTACATGGTCTAAGATAAGATAGAAATATTATTAATAGAATAGTTCGGGGGCTGGTTAAAAGCTTTAAAAATAAAAATTAATGTTTCTTGAATATAAATGTACAAAAAACAAAAAATCTTATACTGCTGAATAGGGAATTAAAAACCCTTTAAAATGAGGTATCACACGTTACCACTTTCTATTTAAAAAAATTATAGGGGTGACTTTTACTCCGAAGGGGTTAAAGGGGGAGATAAATAATTTTGTTCAGAAAATGTCATTTTAGAAATAAAAATCGACCTGTTCAAGGATTTTCCTCAAAACGTAATAATAAAGCTAATAATTAATATATTCCACAAATATGGACCACCTTGTATATAAATAATAAATAATGTCTCAAAAACTTACAAATCAGTTTTTCAGAAATTCCAACCCCGACAAGAGTTTTTTTTGGAAATAATCGAGGCATTTTATCTGCGTTTAACAACTAAACTATAAATAAATGTCCAAAACTTAAAACACTAATGATTTATATTGATTTATATAAAAAAAAAATAATTCACAAGAAGTTATCTTTTTAAAAATTAAGTCGAGATATTTCATGGCGTATGCACCCAAAGACTTTTTATATTAACAACATAAAAATCACGTCTCAGTAAGATAATCACATTCCATATTTGAAAGTAGGTGCCAGTTTCAAAACCGTATGTATTATTAAAATAAACAAGGGAAAATACATATTAGTAAAATTTTTAAAATATAATATATGTATGTTTCAAAAGTAAAATTCTCCTTGAAATCATATTACAAAAAAACATATTTTCTCTATATCTTGTATTTTGCTCAATCTGGCTATGTACACCATACAGACTTTAATACTAATTCATATAAATTTAAACAGTTACCCAACTAAATAGTTAGACGATTAGGCCGATGTATGTAGTGTGTATACAAAATTGATTTGATCCAGCATTGAAAAGGTACGCTCATCAAAAGACTGACATGGCCCTAGTTTATTTGAATTATTTCTCTCACAATCGTTAGAATCCTTAAGTTTTTATCTAGTTATAAACAAGAATGCATTTTTACGAATGTTTGCACAGTTTTTATGATATCGGCGTATATAAACAAAAAATCGGTAAAATAGGCAGTTTTTTGGAGGTATCAGAAATAAATGAGTATTTATATAATTTTGTGCCATTTACGACTAAACAAATTTGAAATTTTATGCTTAACAGGAGACAGAAAATTTTGATTTTTTTATTATTTCTCTAATGATAATTTTTATTTTAGTAACATATATTAACTTTCTTTTTGATAATAACTCGCTTTTCCCAGGACGATTTTTGCACAACCTATGCCATTTAAATCTAAACATCAAAAACTACTATTTTGACAACTCGCACAATAATTGTATCTATAAAATGCCAACGAAAATCTAAATTAAGCGATTTTAACCCTCCGCCGCTTAACGATATTTACGTGACAACTAGAACAGTAGATGCCTTGGCAACAATGTATATTGTTTCGTCTCTGTAATATCTATATCAAGTGCTGCCCTCTTTTGTTTCACGTACCAACTCTAATGAGCAATATTTTTAGTTACAGAAAACTATAATGTTTAGTGCTAGTTTTCGACAATTTTTGTGCTATCGTAACTCCATCTTGCGTTAGCGAAACGTAACTTTTGTAGGGTAATATAAATCTTAACTAAATCCAATATCCTTAAAAAAATGGTCTTAAAGTATGTTGGAAAGTACAATTGTTTTTCTTTTTAAGTGTCTGTTGAATTTAATTCAGAGCATATGTCTCATATTTGTCTTTTTCAATCATGGCCCATTTTATAAACATTATTTGTGGAATACTCTAAATTTTATCATCACATCATGTTTTAATTTATTTCGTAATAATTTTAGTACACTAAACCCGTGGAAGAAATTCAACCCACAAATACTACGGGTAACGGGACTTCCCCGCTCGGCCTTAGCCCGTCCCACTTGGGTGCGTTGGCGCACGTCGGGGCAAATTCTAATGCCAATAGTACTATTCCGTCGGCACCGGTATTTGATAAAAACAAAAATCAAGCGGGCTCGGAAATGTCGAGGGCAGCTTCAGAAAAGAGGAAAAAGAAGATGACCGATGAAGAAATTTTGGAGAAATTGAGGAATATCGTTTCTGTCGGTGATCCCAATAGGAAATATACTAAATTGGATAAAATCGGGCAAGGGTAAGTAAAAATGCGAAATATGTAATTTTTCAAATTGAATGTAAATGGTTACGAAGTTGTCTGTATAAGGGTATACAGGCAACAATTAAGAGAATGGTTATTTCAAGAACATACTTTTTAATATTATCCTTTTTTATGATAGTGCTTCCGGAACAGTTTATACAGCCATAGAAACAGCAACTGGAATGGAGGTAGCAATTAAGCAAATGAACCTTTCCCAGCAGCCTAAGAAAGAACTAATTATAAACGAAATTCTAGTCATGCGAGAAAACAAACATGGCAATGTTGTTAATTATTTAGACAGTTATTTAGTAAATGAAGTAAGTTACTCGGAATGTAAATAGGATTCATTTTTTATATTTTAAATCTTCAAGGAACTTTGGGTGGTAATGGAATACTTGCCTGGTGGTTCCCTGACTGATGTAGTAACGGAGACCTGTATGGACGAGGGCCAGATAGCTGCCGTTTGTAGAGAAGTTTTGCAAGCCTTAGATTTCCTTCATTCCAATCAAGTCATCCATAGGGATATCAAGTCTGATAATATATTACTAGGTCTCGATGGGTCTGTCAAATTGAGTATGTATTATTAGAAACTATTACTTAATAACCCTTTTCTCTCTAGCAATGATCTCATTAATATTAATGAGAGGTCATTTTACAACTGGTAATATTAAAATCAGAACATAATGTACAACAATGATATGTGATTGAACTAATTAACTTTCAACTGTCAGATCTTTTTTAACGTTAACTACGTCTTGTGGGGGACAATTAAATTTTTTAAAGTAATAACTTTAGTTGAGGGATTCTCGATTGGAATATTACAATTAAAGCAATGGACATTTTGAGTGAAATTTCGAAATATTTCTAATAGATAGAACTAAATGTATATTGAAATACTCCAAGTCCATTCGCTTTCTTTATTGTTTAAATGTAAAATGGACGAAACAAAAAGTAGTTTTTGGCACATCATAGATTAATTACATCATGTTATTATGTCAGGTGGCAGTTATCAAAATAATTTTGAATTGTTAAAAATTTGTATACAGTGTGTCTGAAAAAGTTGGCAACAAATGGGAAACTTTTTTATTATTAAGTTTAGGAAAAAACGTCATTCTTCATAAAAAGTTCTGCAAGGCCTAAAACCCAATATACGATAATCAGATATCGAAATTTTCCAATCGTATACGAGGTTTGTCAAAAAGTATGAATTTTGCTCAAGAGTAAAGTACCTTTATTTTCGACAATATCTAAAATTGTTATTAAGAAAAGTTGATTAGAATTGAAAACTACGTTTAAATGTCTAATTACAGCTATCTACGAAAAAAACCAGGTTTTATTATTGTTTACAATTTCTTTAAGATCGAAAATGATCAAAAACTAGGTATCTAAATTATTGACCTGTACAAAATCAAGTTGCTGTGGAAATGTTTTGAAACATATCTTATGTCAGTATGCTTCAAAACCTCAGTTTGTAATAATTGTACTTTTTTAAATACTAGTAAAAATGCCGTTGAAATTAAGTCTTGAAGAGAAAATTGAAATTTTTTTAATTGTTGGAGATAACTACAAAACTTATAGGGAAGCTGCCATAATCTTTAATAACAGACATCCTGATAAAAATGTACATTTTGCAACAGTAAGTAAAATAATAAAAAAGTTCAAGTGTTCCGGAAATGTTGAGAATAAATTCAAAAAGAAACATGAGGCATGGGTTGCTACTGAAGAAATTCAAAATCAAGTAATGCTCTCAGCAATAGAAAATCCTAAAGATTCCATAAGAAAAAGGGCAGGTTTACTTGGTGTGCGCAAAGACGTAGTTGCAGGAATATTAAAAGCAAACAAATTTAAACCTTACAAACCCCAGTTCACTCATACCCTAAAAGCAGGAGATTTTAATAGAAGATTTGAATTTTGTGCTTGGTTCCAAGGGGAGTTAGAAGATAATAATTATATGGCACGGTGCATAATTTTTTCGGACGAGGCAACGTTCACTTCTAATGGGGTAGTCAGCTCACAAAATTGCCGTTGGTGGAGTGATGTTAATCCTAATTTCACTGTCCAAACTCGTGACCAATACTGTTTTAAAACAAATGTATGGTGTGGAATTTTTAAAGATAGAATAATTGGACCATTTTTTTTTCGAACTAATATGAATGCTGAACGTTATCTGGAATTTTTAAATAATGAGATTCTTGAATTTCTTCATAACCTACCAATAATGGAAAGGCAACGTACATGGTACCAACATGATGGAGCAACCTGCCATAGTACAAGAAATGTTCGAGAATGTCTTCTACAAATTTTTAACGGAAGAGTAATTGGAAGATTTGTGGACTTTGCTTGGCCTCCAAGATCTCCGGACCTGACCCCCCTAGACTTCTTTTTATGGGGATACTTGAAGCAAAAGGTATACCTTAAAAGACCGTTTGAAAATATTGATCATTTGGAAAGAATAATTAGGGAAACATGTGACGGTGTTACTCCAGATGTTATTAGAAATGCAATAAAAGAATTCTCTCGAAGAACAATTACCTGCTTAGAAAGGGACGGTGGATATGTTGAGGCGTACGTGCAGTGAGGGAAAAGTTAATCCGGATTCTTCTTTTTCATGCATGTAATGTTTGATGTTGTGTTTTGAAAATAAATGATTTTAATTATGTATGCATTTGTTTACATTGTATTATTGATAACTCGTGCAAAACAAAGTCAATATTTATAGCAAAATTTGCAATGAGAAAATGAGTGGTGTAATCAGTAAGTGCACATGAACATAATTTTTAATTTCTATCGATATCTGAGGTTTTGAAGCATACTGACATAAGATATGTTTCAAAACATTTCCACAGGAACTTGATTTTGTACAGGTCAATAATTTAGATACCTAGTTTTTGATCATTTTCGATCTTAAAGAAATTGTAAACAATAATAAAACCTGGTTTTTATCGTAGATAGCTGTAATTAGACATTTAAACGTAGTTTTCAATTCTAATCAACTTTTCTTAATAACAATTTTGGATATTGTCGAAAATAAAGGTACTTTACTCTTGAGCAAAATTCATACTTTTTGACAAACCTCGTATACGATTGGAAAATTTCGATATCTGATTATCGTATATTGGGTTTTAGGCCTTACAGAACTTTTTATGAAGAATGACGTTTTTTCCTAAACTTAATAATAAAAAAGTTTCCCATTTGTTGCCAACTTTTTCAGACACACTGTATATTCATATTTCAAAAGTTTTTATAAGTATTCAACAAAATGGTGAAACGATTTAGTTTCCTATTTTAAGAGACACAAATCTATTTGCGATGCTTTTGGAAAGAGGTACAATCAAATTGCTGCAGAGTCAATAAATACTACGCAAAAAACTATCTATAGATTTAGTAAACCAACAAATTCTAATACAGGGTATATGTCTAAAAAAGTAAGCTAAAGTAAAACAAAAGTCAATTCATTAATATAATTATTATATTATTCAAAATGAAACCATATTCTTTTAAATACACCAAATTAGTGATGACGGAATGTTGTTTCTAGCGACAGTATTTTTTTAAAGAGTCTTTTGTTCGTTTTGTTTATCTAAATTAAATTGTTTTTAAACTTTTATGAATATATTTCTAAAGTAGATAACATATTTAGTAACCAATTACATACCTTTAAACTACTGCAAACGATATTTAATAAAAACAGTATAAACGTATGACAAGGGTCAAAACGCAAGACCTTGTAAGTAACAATTTAGAAATTATTCAGGATTATTTTTGTTCTAAAACATAAGTAATGATTTTTTTTATATAGATATATTTACTAAAAATGAACGTAGTGAGATTATTATAGCAAGATATAACAATTTTCTCCTCTTTCTGAAATAAACTACATTTACGAGGTACTGTACTTTAATTGACTACAGATACGAGGAATTGCATATATTATTATAAAACTGCTAGAAATAATAGATAAATTTTTTGTATCTGTCACAAAAAAATAAAAATAGTGAAAAAAGACATAATAGATATATTTAAGTCTGTGTACACTTCCTAACATAAACTTAAAACCCATTTCCTAACATTAAATAATTCTAATGATATCACTTTATCAGGTAACTCAAAAAAATGCGTAATCGGATATTTTCCTAAATTTAAAAACAACCTCTATTTACAAAAATATTTTTTATGTACTTAATACAAATAAAATAATATAAAAAAAATACGTGTGGCACTCACGGACTGCTTAATTATAATTATTTATTTATTTTATTTATGCAGTATTTTTTTTTTCTTTGATATTCAAGTTTTTTCTTTAATATCAATTCAACTTACACTTTTTGAGCGTGGTGATCGATAAGAAAACAATTTTTTTTTTCTTTTATTAAATAAATGAGAAGTTAATATTGTTTAAAATATTTTTAAGCTATTGCATAGCTTTTATCGCGGGCTTTGAGCGCGGCGACCGAATCAAGAAATTCCGTAACGACCGTAACGAAAATAAACCTAACACCCCCCACTCCGACCGGCATAGCGGTGCGGCGTTGAAAGCCGTGGAAGGTTTTATCTGAATCCGACCCTATTCGTATTAGTATGAAGTGGAGTTAAATATACGTCTGCGGACTGGAACGTTTAGGCAATACAAGAACTAAAAGATCTTTCTCTGGCTTCTAATAAATTGGTATCACAAATGTTCCCGGCTGGCGTAAATATTAGATATTAATTTTTTTTGTAAGACATATAAAATATTAATTTTTATTTTATCAGTGTTAACTATTTCATTATTAAGCTATTGCATAGATTTTATCGTGGGCTTTGAGCGCGGCGACCGAATCAAGAAATTCCGTAACGAAAATAAACCTAACACCCCCCCACTCCGACCGGCACAGCGGTGCGGCGTTAAACAATTTATTCAATAAAAAAAAATCGAAAAATAGAAAAAACGAAAAACAGAAAAATCGAAAAATCAGCCCCCACTCCGACCGGCACAGCGGTGCGGCGGAATAACCTACATGTATTGTAAGATAATAAAAATATTTTAAACAATATTAATTTCTCATTTATTCAATAAAAGAACAAAATTTGTTTTCTTATCGGTCACCACGCTCAAAAAGTGTAACTTGAATTAATATTAAAGAAAAAACTTGAATATCAAAGAAAAAAAAAATACTGCATAAATAAAATAAATAATTATAATTGCATAAGTTGATAAAAAAATGCTATGCAATAGCTTTACCGCGGCAGTCCCCGAGTGCCACCCTTATTTTTATATATTTTATATGTTTTATTTATTATTAATTTTAGCCGTCCGTATACACCCTAAATATAACGTAACTTAGAATTTTACGCAATGGAAATTAATTTTAAGCTTATACTTTTAATATAAAAACAAATTTTCGTTTTCCTCCCTTAGATTTTCAAGTTTTTTGAAATATAAAAAAAATCATGAGAAACAAACATCCATTTAAGGAGGTCCTTTCGTAACTCCTTCCGCCACCAAAGTTAAATAAAAAATATTAGATTATGACTAAAATTAATTTTTTTTCTAATAGTTGGAGTCCTTATTTATCTAATAGTGAACTTTTAACTATACCTTAACGTGCAAATTTTTGGGAATTTTTTTTTAAAATGTGAGTATTTGTACAGTGTCTTATGAGAAAGTAAGACCTCAACAACAATTCTCGAATTAAACTATTATTTATTGATTAGATGGAGTAAAAAAAAAAAACTAAAAATAAGGTTTTTGAAATATTTAGGTTTTGTTTTTTACAATAAAATATATAGGTTACCGTGAAATTTATTGAGAAATTAATATTAAAAAAAAATTTCAAGTAACCTAGTTGAAAATTTTTTGTGATTTTTTAATATTAATTTCTCAATAAATTCCACGGTAACCTATATATTTTATTGTAAAAAACAAAATCTAAATAGTTCAAGAACCTTATTTTTAGTTTTTTTCTACTCCATCTAATCAATAAATAATAGTATACTTAATTATAATTCGAAAATTGTTGTTGAGGTCTTACTTTCTCATAAGACACTGTACAAATACTCACATTTTAAAAAAAAATTCTCAAAAATTTGCACGGTAAGGTATAGTTAAAAATTCACTATTAGATAAATAAGGACTTCAACTATTAGAAAAAAATTAATTTTAATCATAATCTAATATTTTTTATTTAACATTGGTGGCGAAAGGACCTCCTTAAAAAGATACTCTCCTTTTCATTTGATAATTTTAACATCTTTTCAGCCTTTTTCCCCAACGTTTCTCTGACTTTCTTCTAGGCATTGCCAATATTTTCTTGTCGTTCACAATTTAAACAGATTTTCATTGTCTATTATTTCGTTTGATGCTACGAAATTGCTACGAAAAAATTAATTTGTATTGTCTATGTAAAGGGGAAATAAAAAAAAACTTGCCTTGACTCTGTCCAGCTTAATTTATAACCGCCGTAACGTAACTTAAGAACTTAACGTAAGAAGTTGAAATATTGAATTTACGTATACTTATTTATAATGTTCGTAACGTAACTAAAGAACTTAACGTACCGTAGAAAGTTCGCCAATTTTTAATTTAACAACTTAACTTAAGACCTTACGGTTAGCCAATGAGATCATTCTGAGTTCAGCATGTGATAACTGTCAATTATTCTCTTTTTGTTTTTTTTTTTTTTATAAATGAATAGACAAATACCATTTGTAAACTATCATTCTCCTTTTTGATGGATATACATTATCATGAATGATTTGTGTTTATGTTATTGGGGATAAACTATTTATGAGATATTAGTGTTGCTGCATATACCTATAAACATCAAGTCTAGAACTGAAATAAGACACAAAACTAGTTTGCTAGGAAAGATTAAATTCTCATTATTGCTCAAAAACAATCAACATCTTCGGTAAACTATTCTGTTTTATTATACTTTTATATTATTGCTTTTAAAGTAGTTAATATATTCTTTCTATATAGCAAAATAATAATTTATAAGTTTTATTTAGAGGTTAGGTACATAGTTTACACTTGTTTATTTCATAAGGTTGTCAGTAATTTGATAATCTCTAAAATCAACATGCATGCTCAACTTTTACGTTACGGACATTTATAAATAGACTTTATTTTTATATCTTAGGTTAAGTTTCTACGGCGTTAAGTTACGTTACGGTGGTTATAAATTATACTTCACACCAGTGGTGGCTTGTGGGGGTGTTCACAATGACAGAATATTGGTATCAGTACAGATGTATGAAAAAACTTTCAGTATTTTAGAAAGTTTATAATATACCTTTCTAAAACACTGACAGCTATTTACCTATATCTGTACCGGGATCTATATTCTGCTACTGTGAACCCCCAAAATTTTGATAACGAGCCGTCCCTGCTTCACACTCTATTTGAGTGTGACCCTTTTCCAAAAACTTTTGTGTTATTGAAACGTCATACTTCTCTGTCAAATAAAGAAGGGCATTGGCGAGCCGACTATTCTTGTTTTGAGCCGTACAGCCATCAGAATAAATAATGATAGGCCTTTTGACCTCTTGAGTTAAGAGTTGCCCTTCTAAATAATCAACTAAAGAGGAAGCGTAAACAGATGCGTGTCCATTGGCAACAGTTTCGTTAAACCAATAACATACGGCTTGGTTGTTGACTAAATTGTAAATCGTGAAGTTGTGACAATACAATTTTTGTTTATAGTACAACGTGCTAGCTGATATTTGTTGAGACAGCTTCTCATCCATGTTTATCATGTGAAACTCCCCATTTATCGCCTTCTTCTTATCTGTTTTCTTTTATCGTCTTGCTGATTTTTTTCTCTCAATATATTCCTTATATTCTTCTGCTTCTATATTGTCGTTCTTATACTTAAAACAGTCATTACATTGGCCCTCTCTCGGTCGGAATATGGAGATTGTCATTTGGTCAGCAAGTTTAATCATAGTGATAACTGAAATTGGATTTTGCCCCTCTTCTTGACATTGCCTCTTGTGGACTCTGTATAAATCCGACCATGACTGAAAAGATTGCTTCGAGTACATTCTATTGGTGTCTTTTCGACAATAATGTGGAGGAAGCTTGTTTAAATTTTGAAGAAACTCAGTGAAAAACCTTCGTTCATTTTCAAAAATATCTTGTCGTTTTTCTCTCCTGCTTATTTCAGTTTGGTCGCTACTTGCCATGTCATTTTCAAACTTTATTGCCCAGGACTGTACGGATCATTCTCCGACGCTAAAAGTGTTTTCTTACAAATAGTCATGGATTTATTAGTGATAATAAAAGAACAATTTAGTGTTTAAGATCTACGAGAAGGGTTCAATTTTTTTAACGGCCTTTTTTTATCATATACTTTGACGATATTTCCAACAAAAACTTTTTGCTGCTCCCAAGTCATATCTTCCCAGAACTTTTTAAATAGTTTTTCTCGATCCTCGTTTGAAATTAGAAAACATTTTCTGTTAGCACCATTCACCTTCTATTTATTTGAACACTTACACCTGCCTTTCTTTTATTTTTCTTTCATTACGTTTTTTTTTTTTTTTTTGTTTGAAACGTATTTTTTTGATTTTTCGGTGTTGTAAATCCCAACTAGCCTTTTTCCGTCAGTCTTAGTTTTTTATTAATAGCCCTTTTATTGTACCCTTTACACTTTCTATTTACATGTTTACTTGTAGGTTGATCTTCTAAATTGCTATCCTCTTTTGATACTTGCCCTTGCGGTTCTTAATCTGAATAATTATCTTCGAATATGCTTTCTTCAAATGAGTCAGCGTCATTGCGCTCCATAGTGGCGTCGTAATCGGGATCAGAAAGATTTTCTTCGGGTATTATCATGAGAGAATTTGTAACACTTTGATCCAAACTGGCCTCTACATTGTTTATTTCAAAGTTAGGATCTGATATTGTAGATTCCATGATTTCCAAATTCGTAATTTGTTCAGGAGAACTCTTCACGCAATTTACTGTCCGCATTTTTTTTTTTACAAATCTACTGGTGCGCGGACCAAAAAAGGTTGAGAAACGCTGGTTTAAATCATAAGTTCACAAACTTTTTTGGCCTGCCGCCTACATTTTGAAAAAAACTTTTGATCGAGTACTTAAGAGTATTTTGCAAGAGGCGATAGTTATTCCTCAACCCACCCCCCCCCCCCCCTCTCCTAACCTTATCTTGGATCAAAAATAGCCTCTCTTCATCTCATACCGGTGGGCGGTACCGCTCCTGTTGGGAACCACTGATTTAAACCTGATATATCTTTTTAAAAATAAAACTCGTTTTCTAAAGTGTTCAAAATATTAAATGCGTTTTATTTGTTTAGCGGATTTCGGTTTTTGTGCTCAAATTAGTCCAGAACAGTCAAAAAGGACTACAATGGTAGGCACTCCTTACTGGATGGCCCCCGAAGTTGTCACTAGGAAGCAATATGGACCGAAGGTAATTCACAAAAATCATAGATCACTTTTATAGATAATTTTAATTTTATTTTTTTAGGTGGACGTTTGGTCTTTAGGTATAATGGCGATAGAAATGATCGAAGGGGAACCGCCGTATTTGAATGAAAATCCGCTTAGGGCACTTTACCTTATCGCTACCAATGGCAAACCTGATATTAAAGAAAAAGAAAAACTATCTCCAGTATTTCAGGACTTTTTAGACAATTGTTTGGCTGTCGAAGTCGACAAACGATCGTCGGCCAGGGATTTATTAAAGGTTTGTCTTTTTACGCTACACGTTTTTTAAACTACATTTTAAGGCTATAGAAAAGGATTTTAAAAATAATAATTATTGATGAATAATTTTTAATGCCTATACAAAAATTATTAATCTTAAAATATTAGTAAATGTGAACATATTCAGTAATTAGTTAAAATAACGCATTGTAATTTTCAATCCTATTTACGAAAAAAATCATAAGTTTTCTATGAAATTAAATCAGAAGAAAACCATATCGGGAATTTTTTACATGTAATTCTTTTCATTAGTACAAATATGTTAATTGCAATAAACAAGATTTCATAAAAAAATGGTAATCATATTATTCAAGGTTTTATTTAAAAGTAATTGATCCCAAAAAATTGACCAATTCCTACATAATCAGCGTATTTAAATTCGCTGTAAAAACTATCCCTATTAAGCACTTCACTACTTAAAACATAAGGGATGATCACAGTCAATGGAGGATGATAATTACCTGGTTTGAAGATGTCTTCATCTGTGGCAGAGACGTCTACCATTCGGTCTTGGGGTAATACAAGATCTAATAAGTTGCCAGAGATATTTCGTACCGGATTGCCTTGAAATAGATGATTAAAAGCACAAGTATTAGAAAGTGATTCTATTGACAATAATTTTTCGGGTAAGGTACCTAAATGAGGATTAAGCATTGATCCAAAATGATCATAGATCCAGATGGAGTGAGGCAGATTGAAATCACCTAAAAGGCACAGTTTAGCGTGCAGATAATTGCAGATGAGCATGTCAATATCATATTGATGGACTGTTTTAGGTGGAAAATAAACAATTCCAATGACAGTTTGATTCTGTCCACATCCAATATTATGTAATTTATTTTTAATCTTATAATCGATTATTTTTGATAAATCAATTGTTTTTAAATATTTAATTTATAGATTCTGTTCGATTAATGAATTAATCGATTATCGATATTTCCATAAAAAAAATCGATTTATCGTTTATTATTTTGCCTATTTCAAATTTTAAACAATTTGTTACATAAAAACCTAGAAAACAGTATTAAAGTAAAAACAACCGTGTCATAATAAATGACAGAATAGTTTGTTTTCATTTGGCACATAAATTACGTCACACGAATATAACGTAATAAAGCTATAAAACAAATGCTATCAAATGTTTTAATTTCTAGTTTTTAATGTTTCAATAATTTAATCTTTTCAGCATCCATTTTTAAAACTTGCACGACCTTTAGCGAGCTTGACGCCCTTAATACTAGCAGCCAAGGACGCCGCTAAACAACACTAGCGATGTTCGGATATCTCCCAGAGTTGAGATGTATAAAGAAAATATTAAATAGGCTTCACTATAACCAGACATTTCTCAGCAAAACGATAAAATGATTGAATTTTTACCGATATTCCGATTTAATATTAAAAGATAATAGCGATTTGATAATTAAGAGATATTTAAACAAATTAATGGTTAAATTCATATTCTTCCATGTAATTGTGTTACAATAATAATAATTAAATTGCTGTAACTAAAAATGTAGTTAGTTGTGTTCCAAGTTATATATTTTCAGAACAATTCCGTTTATGCTAAGAAGATACAAAATATTTAATGCAAAACAAATTATAAGGATTAAAAAAACCGTTATTGATTAAAACTTCTCTCTTTTCTATAATCATACAGTTTAATAAAGACATCTGTCAACTCTCTTGAGCTGACATCAATTGTAACAATAATGAATGACATCGTGGGGATTGGTTACATCTCTTTTGTGTTTTGTACCATTGACCATTATATTTTTCTTTGCTAGGTCCTTTTCTTTCTATATTTTTCTTTGGTCATCTTCATGGTGGTCATTAATTTTGTTTTCTACATAATTCTCTAGTTTTATTAAGTAGGTTTAATCTCTATTACCCTATTGTCTATAAGGACCTCACTCCCCTTCCTGGTATCAAAACCTGGATTTTTGTACACCTGATCTCAAATGTTGCCACATAAACCGCATCAAGGGCGTTCATTGTTCTAGTATTATATATCTTCTGTTTTATACTATTCTCGACCATTTCTGCCTTTTTCTAATTTTTACATTACTCAAATCGACATTCATTTAGTACTTTTACATACATTTTATTTGACTGATGTTTACTTTATGTCTTAAGAGGAAAATTTACATTACAAACTAAAAGACCTGCGGGGCAACGGTAGTTTAGTAGGTATAAAAATTACAACTTAAGGGTGGAGCCTAAATACTACAAAATTACTTCCGAGACCAAACAAAATCAGCATTCATTCATAATTTTAACAATTGCATGTAGATACGAGGGATGCATATTCTAAACTTTAACGCGCGAAGTTGAAGACAAAGGAACCTAAAAATATTCCATAATAGCACAAAATAATATTACCTATGTATTTTACAATATAAGTATGGTGTAGATTAAAACTTATTTTGGCTATCGACAAATTTGGTTAAAAAATCTTCTTTTAGAAATATACCTTTCATTTGACGAAAAACGAAGGCCTAAACGAAAAAAAAATATTCTTCATAAAAGTTTCGCCTGTGTATTGACAAGGTAATAGTGCTTTCCATATATTTTTTGCTATGAAATTAACAAAAATATAGCAATAAACAATTACTGATGTCATGGTTTTACAGGAAAGGAAGCAGTCTCTTGACTGTATGCGTCTCTCTGAGGGATGAAATGTATGCAATCTGTTTGACTCTCTTACACTATTTTATATAGGTATTATTGATTTATCCGCTATGAAGGCGAATAATGTTTTATAGGGTGTTGTATAGGTTATAAACAGTAAGGCTATTGCTTTGCAGAATACAATAAATTCCTAATAAAAAAATTCAATAATTAGAAGTATATAAAGCATAAATTAATAATATTAAAATATATAAGTACAGGACTCAAACTAATCAAAATCAGATTCACCACATTAATCTACATTTTCCAAAACATTAGCGGCTATGATCAAACTATTTCTGCAGTTTTTCTGTGCCATACAGGTGCATTAACCGATATAGTCAATATTTTTTTCTGCATTTGCAAATTTTGCTTCCATAGTCTAGAATAGAATAATATTGTTAAAATATTGTACATATATGAAAATTATCGGTGTATAGTACCTTTTTTGCATTTGCATGATAAGTTCTGTTATTTCTGGTAGCAGGTCGAGCATAATCTTAAGAGTGGGTATCAGGCTTCAATCTTGATCTACTTTCCATTCATACTCTTCAACATTAGGAAGCTGCATCTGGGTCTTTAAAGAGCTTAGCCAAATACTTAGCTGGTAAAAACATCTTAAACAATGTAATCTTAGGGCGTCTTCAGTCAATGGCAATTTAGCAGTTATTTTAAAGGGACCATTAATCTCCTCAAAATGTTAATGGAAGTTCAAGATTAGAGAATGTGTTTTCAGAGTACCTACAAATCAGTGCCAAATCCATCCAAAAGGTGATGGTGTTCAAGGTAGGTTTTCCAGGTTCTTTTTCCAATGCCAGACAATTGGTTGGATTTATTACGACCTGTCACAGAATAAAAAAAAGGCAAATTTTTTAGAAGTTTTTTTATCCAAATTTAAATCATGTACTGTTATAAATCGTCACGAGTCTCCTTGCCCTATTATGAACCATATCTTTTTAGTTCAAAACTACTTAAAATAAATTAATAAGACTAGAACATCTGTATCGTTGCAATCAATAATACATCATGAATTCCCCGAATTTCTGGCTAATAATATGTGCAATAAGATACGAGTATCAGCTTCTTCAAGATATAAATTTAAGAAATCGTCTTTTGATGGTTCAAAATTCATCCCATATTTATTGATACTCGCGAATCCATCACTAGATACAAATTTTCAAGAAGTTGCTCTGACAGAAAATGTGTTAAACGTCTTTTATTAAATATCGAATGAATGAACAAGTTTCATTATTCTGGATTCGGTCAATTTCTATATCAATTGATTTCTGGGATCATCTCTTTTGACGTGTTGTATTTTTGATAGAATTTTCTTTATAATGATTAAATACCACATCTATCCTTTGAGCATTAAATTTATTTTTAAAAATAATCTTTACAAATATATTAGCATATTCTTTAAATGATATGCAACTTTTGGACTTTCCCAAACCTTGAGCTATTGCTATCCCATCAAAAATGTGACAAGTTTTGCAAGATCACCTAGGTGCAGGTAAGTCTTTGTGGGTCATATTGCTCTAAAATATTTCCCAATAAACTCTTATTTGTAGAGGTGCCGAGATACCCATTTACTGTTAGAGACATGGGAGAGGCTGTCAGATCAAACTTAAATATTTCGGCATAATTACCTAATGTTTCTCTCCATATCCTTTGCTAATAAAATATTGTGAAGAAACTGTTGACCATGCAAGGATTAAGAAGTCATATTTTGATATCATTTGTGTCTTTGTTTCTTGCAACAACAAATCCGTAATTAAAATGTTTAACGAAAACTTACCCAACTTACCCAAAAATATTCAGGCATTCAGCTATAACAGGATGAATGTAGATGTAATAAAAACCTAAAAAATGTCTATTTCTTCCCAATTTATTAGGAACTTTAATATGTAACACACTTATTAATTTTTTAGTAAAAACAGACAATATGACACTTTGTCCATTGGCACCTAACGAAAAGTTTTATAATAAAAAAATGAAAAAAATTTGAGCATATCAATAATGTGATGCATCATCCGACACGTAGAGAGAAACAGAGCCATACTACGTTTTTCATTAGGGCCTTCCTTTTGGTTAAATGATAAAATTATATTTAAAAAAATGACTTTTTAAACAAATTTTTGAAGGGCTGAAATTTTTTTTAAATAAGTATAAAACATTACTCCTTACAAAGATTTTATTGTGCATTGGACCAAAAAATAAATATTTATTTTTTATTCGGCGGTATCAGTTTCTGGATTTTTGATGATAGTGCCCTTCTGCACAGTCTAATTTTGTGTTACCTCCGGAATAACGGTTACCTTATCATGACCTTTTATCTCTGAAAAATTCAGCTTGTGACAAAGGGAGGTAAATCGTTTTCTAGAGCGAATATTTTAATACATACACTTACTAATAATAATTTATTAAGAGTAGAAAAGCGTCCATAGTTTTGCAATACATTCCCTTCTATATCACATAATATGTCCTCGATACAAAAAGTCAAAGTAACAAAAACAGGAGGCCAATGTAAACAAACAATAAACGGCCTCATGACATTTTATATTTTTAAATAAACTAGGTTTTTAAAAAATATTTTCTATACCTGTTATTTTTTATATTCAAGCGGATTTATAATATTTATACTTGGAGTAGCCATGTGTGAGTTAGTTAAATGAAAAGGTACCTTTGGTTTTATAATATGTAGCCATCAGATATAATGTTTCAGCATATTATTATTATTTATATTTTAACAAAAATTATTTTTATTGTTTGAATAATCTGTTATAATGAGGTACAGCTTCTAGAACAAATTCATAAAAAATCCGTACTGTTAAACTCACCATTTATTTGGCATTCTATCCCGTACTTCCATATCTCTATTAGCTCTGCTGTCAACTAGTTCTGGTAAGGCATATTACATATAATAATTTTGAATTTTATTTTGCACTTTTTCTTCCCAAAAGCTGTCATTATGAGGAATTTCCTCCACTTTTATTTCTCGAGAAGTCCAAACGCAAAAAATGCAAAAATTCATTTGTGTAATATGCAGCTAGCCCTGAATTTGAAAGTACCGATTGTGGTTCCCCTTAATGATATTATCCTTTTTCCAGAAAGTTATTTTTCTACTGCATATTCCTTTTTCTTCAGTCAACACTCTAGCTTCATATGGACATTTTAACTCTATCATAGAGTTTTTTGTTTTAAATTCCATCTGGACTGGCAGGAACATAATCAAATTCGGAACCCTAGAAAGCAAAAAAAATTATTTACTAAGTTCGAAAAAATATACAATACTTTAACAACTTAAAGAGTTGTTAACATGCTGGAATTCATTATTATTAACTCGAAGATGTATTCATTAAAAAAAATTCCCGTGCAATATAAAAGTTAATTTATAATTCAAATCTCATTGTATACCTTTTAATTTCGGATATATTTTTATAATAAATAAATAATAAAATTAATTTAAAATAATTGAGCGAAATTACTGTATGTAAAAATAACAAAGTGTACATACATAAAACAAAATAAATTCAAATCACTTGCGTACGTTTATCACTTGTAAACAGTAGAAAAGGATATACATTTTGTTGGTGTCGCGCTCTAGACGAGAAAGCTTTTAACGTATTTTTTTAATTTTTATTGAGAAAATAAATGTTCCTGTAAAAATTAAAAACATATATTGTTCTCTTCTAGCATTTTTATTTGTATTTTTTTTTGTTTTCGATAGAAAGATATCTTCTTACATTTTCTCAAAATAAACCGATTCAAATGTTCAAAAAGTGACTCCTTTACCTGTACTTACATAATTTTTTAAAAAATAAAAAATAATCCGTAAAATTGGTGTACTCTGAAACCTATTGCATATTATATAAATATGTCTATATTAGTATTACAGAAATGATTTACGTAAAACAATAAGGTGTACCTACAAATACGTAAACTTTAATTATCCCTCGTAAAACATCAGTAAAATATTTTGTAAATTGTTTTCATTCACAAATATTAATTTCTTAAAAATATAACAGAGGCGCCACTTGCCAGACGAAAAATCTTGCAATGTAAGGGTTTCGTAGTACCCCACTTTTAAAGTTTATTTTTAAGTATTTTTAAAAGAAAAAAATATGTACGTGTAGATAAAGGTTAAATCTATGCTCCTCTAGAACCACTTTTTCAAAATTCAAATTAGTTTTTTCTAAAAAAAAATTATAAAATGGATAAAAAAAGTCGAGTTTTGTGTTTTTTTTTTAGAAAAAACAAATTGAAATTTTGAAAAAGTGTTTCCAGATGAGCACAGATTTAACCTTTACCTACACGCACATATTTTTTTCTTTTAAAATATGTCAAAAATAAACTTTAAAAGTGGGGGTACTACGAAACTCTTGCATGCTCTGCTCTAAAGCCAAGTAAATAAACATTAATTTGCTTTGATGGATTAATAATTAATAATTCGAAGTTTGTCTAAATTTCAACTGTGAAGTAGTTTTCTCTTATATGCATCTATTATAACTTTGTCACTCCGCCTACGTAGCTGTTGCTTTTATTTACAATCCAAAATGACATTATTTTGTACTAAATGTATATAATTTGCCTATTAAAGACCGATCATTTGAACCGCCTTTAATTAAACTAAATAAATGTAGATAGTTTTAGAAATGTCTGGTTATAAAATTGGGTCCTAATATCCCATATTACTAGAAATTGCATTATTTTATATTAGACCATTGTATTATACATGTATAGGTAGTAATAGTAGTGTTGAACTTTATTTATATTTAATAATTATAATATTTGATGCTTTGCAGTTCTAGTAATATAGGTTGTATTATACGATATGAATAAGCATTTAGCCGAAAAATTCCAACAAGTGAATTTCTTTTTGTATTTGGTTTGTTAGGACAATGATATCGAATAGAAATGTCACTCAATTTACCATAAGAACTATTAAAAAGACCCGTTTAAACAATTTTACGGTTGATAATGCATCATGATTTCAATGTTTACGTTTAAAACACGAAATGTTAAAATAAAATATTATTCACTTGGTGGATTTTTCAGCATTTGTATTGACAGGAGACTGTGCCTAATTTCCAATTTCTAATGAATTAATGATATCGTAACTTCTCATTTATTTTTTTTTCTATGTATGTAAAATGTATAAATTATTTGATGAACTGTGACAAAAAAAACTTTTACGAACTCTAACGTTTACAGTTAAAGAATTCGGTTGTTTGAACGAATTTTTTAGGCAAGGACCACATTCTGCGTGTAGAGTAATTTATTTTTTTAATAAAAAAATAAATATCGAGTTTTCAACAATGCCCCTATCTCACGTGACCAAATTGATGTCATGAGTTGATGGTTATTATTTTATTATTAAGGATAAAAAACCTATGAAACTAATCTAGCACTTGTTTCAGGGTTTTTGGATTTTTTAAATTTTAAGGGGGAAAAACGGGGGGTGAAAGTTTGTAAGGGACTATCGTTTTTATTTGTTCTCTATGAAGTTAGAAACATGAAAATTGGAATTGCAGCTACTGACTACAAATTATTAAGAGTTTTTGGATTTTCCCATTTTAGGGGGGGGGGGGAATGGGGGGGGTGAAAATTTATTTGGGAGTATCCATGTTTTTGGTTCTCTTTAAAGTTAAAAACATGAAAATTGGAATTGCAGCTACTTAGTACAAATTAATAATAATTTGTTTTAGGGTTTTTATATTTTTACATCTTGAGGGGGGCAAACGGGGCTAAAAGTTTGTATAAGAGTAACTTTTTTGTTCTCCTTGAAGTTAGAAACATGAAAATTGGAATTGCAGCTAATGGGTACAAATTAATAATAACGTGTTTAAGGGTTTTTGGATTTCACATTTTAAGGGGGGGAAACCGGGGGGTGAAAGTTTATTTGGAAATATTGTTTTTTTTTTTAAAGGTAGGAACTTGAAAATTGGAATTGTAGGTTCTCATCATAAATAAATAAATAAAGTGTTTCATGGTTTTCGGATTTTCACATTTTAAGGGGGGAAAACGACGATGAAAATTAATAAAAAATTAATAAAAATTATTAAAAATTATTAAAAATTATTAAAAATTATTAAAAATTATTAAAAATTATTAAAAATTATTAAAAATTATTAAAAATTATTAAAAATTATTAAAAATTATTAAAAATTATTAAAAATTATTAAAAATTATTAAAAATTATTAAAAATTATTAAAAATTATTAAAAATTATTAAAAATTATTAAAAATTATTAAAAATTATTAAAAATTATTAAAAATTATTAAAAATTATTAAAAATTATTAAAAATTATTAAAAATTATTAAAAATTATTAAAAATTATTAAAAATTATTAAAAATTAATAAAAATTAAGAAAAATCAATAAAACTAATAAAAATTAATAAAAAAGGAAGTCATGTATTTTTTTATATTAATAACACGACTATATGCGAGCAAAGCCGCGGGCAATAGCTAGTTAAGATATAACAGAACAGTTATCACAATACATTAACCTATATCATAGTTTATCACAAAAGATCAATTGGTATAGTGGAGCATAATGTTTGAAGCATTTTTCAATTCTTTATCTAGACGATTCTTGAACTGGTTAACTGAAGTCGATACGATAGTGTTCTCTTGCAAGTTGTTCCAAGTATACACCACTCGGTTGCATTTTTCTTTTTCCAGTTTTTTGTCCCTCTGTGTTCTAGTTTGATAACCATCACCACTCGGTTGCATTTTTCTTTTTCCAGTTTTTTGTCCCTCTGTGTTCTAGTTTGATAACCATGAAAATTTTTTTTACAAATCAATTCCCACTAGTCCATTTGAACGTTTCAATCAGGTCACCTCTAAGTCTACGATCTTTATGTGCTTGGAGTTGCAGAATGAAAAGCCTTTCCAATTAGCTAGTGTCCTGAAGCTCTGGAGGGATTCTAATTACCTTTCTTTTAGACTTTTTCTAACATTACTATACCTTTAACAAAATGTGGATTCCAAACTGGCATTGTAAATTCTATTTTGCGTCTTATAATAGGTTTTGTATAGTTTGAAGATCACTTCCTTTGAATGGTCCTTGAATGCAATTTTGATTAGATAAATCATTGTGTTTGCCTTTTTTATAAGTTTCCCATTTTAAATGTAAAGATATAAAAAAGGCCAAGATCTTTTTGATTTGCAGCTGTTATCAAACTTTCACCATTCAGGTAAAATACATTTTCTGGATTATTTTTAAACCTAAACCGACTAACTCCCAAAAGATCAGTGTGTCTGTTAATTTCATTTCCTTGCCTTTGAAATCTGGTCAAAGGACTGTTGAGTCTGTAGTTCGTATGATGGAAGCTAATTGAAAATAATGGTTTCTCTAATATTTATGTTGTTTAATCTAAAGTTTATTAGCTCCAACATATCCGGACAAGCTATATTCCCTTCCAGGAGGTTATAAAGAAATAAAAGATCATTACCAATTAACGTTTACTCAACTGACAATAAGTTTAAATGGTTATTAAGCTCTCTCTTAGAAAGATAAGGCATATGTAACCTCCACTGACAAGTTCTTAGAAACCTATTTTGAACTGCTTCTAAATTTAAAATATGAGTCCGGTAATGAGGTGACCAGACTGGTGAAGCATATAAGAGGATGCTGCGCACTAGTGTTAAGTAAAGGGTTCGGAATGTAGGCACAGAGAATTCCCTAGAGTTCCTGGTCACAAATTCCAATGTTTTCAGAACTCTACTAATGATGTGTGGGACAAATGTCAAAGAACTATCGAAGATCACACCTAGATCCTTGATTTCACTAACTTTCTCCAAAACAGTAGTATTGATATTATAAAGAAAATTTATAGGGTTTTTTGATCTTGTGAAGGTGATTGAAAAACATTTACGTGCATTTAAAGACATGGCATTATTTAAAGCCCAATTATTAAAATAGTTTAAATCATCCTGTAACTTCAAACAGTCAGGTAAGTTTAAGATTTCCATGAATAATTTCAGGTCATCAGCGAATAGTAGGAACTTACAATATTTAAATCCTTAAGCCACATCGTTAATAAATATATTAAATAGTAATGGTCCCAAATGAGATCCCTGTGGGACACCTGAACTTACGTTTATTGGAATCGAAGTAAAACTTTTAACTTTGACATATTGAACCCTGGATTGCAGGTAACTTTC